GTTTACGATAAGGCTTATAATTTCCAGGCCTTTGCCTAAATTAAATTGAAAATGTCGGTGTAGTAATCTGTGTTAATGTAAGTAACTATTTATACGGTATCATTAATTTCGAGGATTAAATTATAAATTTTAAGAGATTAGAGCGATGATCGTCATCAAAAAGGACTTTTGTAGTGCTAATGCGTCATTTGTTTAAGACTTTTATAAAAAACTTAACGGATTAAGTGAATCACAAATAGAAAATTGAAGTCACGCGTCACTCAAAAAAAAATTTGGAAATTAAACTGTGAGTTTTATGGTTAATCAATTACAGAAATTAATTAATAAGATCAATTAATCGTAAGTATGCCCATATCATGACTCAGTAGGTCCTACATGTATCTATTAAAGGACTAAGAACGAAGTGCATAAAAAATTTATTTCCAAGTCCTTTATTTGGCATTCCTTGAATAACTTTTGATTGCGTATAGTTAGTCATTTAATTTCTAATTATGTGGTTAAAAATAAAAGTTGTACTAGAGCGGGAACCATTTTTTACACACATATCGTCCCTATGGTCCTTTCACCTAAACATTCGTCTTCCAGCTTATCGGCAGAACAACAGGAGTTCAGGAAGGCCTTTCCCTTTACTATTACCCTGGGAAAATGTATCGATTAACCAACCCGTAACTCCGAAAATGTTGGTGACTGCGTGATTCTATGACCATTATAACAGACACACACGGCAAGTCATTATATCTGAGGAGAATTCTAAATTTGTGAATAACTCGTTAAATTAAAGATTTTTTTTATTAGAGTTAGTAGCATTACTGAAGTTATATTACCCTATATATTTGTTTTCTGTGGATTTCTTGATTGCTTTATTTTGCTTTTATTTGTCATGATTGCTGTAATTCCTACATTGTATGCATTTTAAGTCAGTTTTTCTCAAAGAAATCAATTTTTCTTTGTCTTCGTGAAGAATTTTAAATTTCGGATAACGAAAATCATTCTATGCCAAAAGTTCAGTGAAATTCGTTAGTTAAGTACCTGTTGGGATTCTTCCAAATTCTTCAATGCAATAATTATTTAAATCTTTGATTGTCTTATTTGTAACTCACTGTTGTTTTTATCTATTTTTGCTTTTACTTGACATTATTTTGTCAGACCCTATACAAAAATGTATGTACGTGCGGTTTCTTATTTTTATATCTCAAGTTTATTATAGATCATTCACTTCGCAGTCTTGAAATATGCACATATATATCGAATATGTGCATGTTGCATCCAGTGTTTTTATATACATATTCTATGTGGAAATTCTACGTGAATTGTATATAAAATTTTGTACTTACATATTGTAAATACTCGCGCGATTTTGCATAATGCATTTTCACGAAAATTAATTCTTTCCTTGCATGAAGGCATATGTAATTCTTATTTTACTGTGGTTTTAGGTACTGTAACGAATAAATGAATTTTGAAGTGGAAATAAACATAATTTGTATTCTTTGTTCGATTGTAGATATAAAATCGCAGATCTTTATACCATTCTTTAGTTTAGTTCAGTTTTCGAACGTGTCTATAGTATAAAATTAAAGTTACTTTTAATTTAAAGAACAAAGTAGTCAGTTGAGGTAATTGTTATCTATTAATTAATAAAGAAGTTAGTTAGTAATACGTTGGTGTGTATCTAAGTATGTTCTTGAAATTACTGTTACAGAAGGTGATCAAAATGAACATTTTAAAAGAAAATAATGATAAACAGATAAAAGAATATTGATTGAAAGGACAGCTAAGAGAAAATATTTCTATAGGAAAGAATTTTTTAAGTAAGTTAAGGCGGTTAATGTTAACAAAACTCATTTTAGATACTGCGATTGGTACAAAAACAATTTCTAAAGTTGCCAATGCTATAAGATACGATAAATCCATTATGTTATTATCAAACTTTTGGTTATGTGTTCCCGAAGTTAAACAGAATCATACTAAGATTTAGAAAATTGTTTAGACATTTAACTTTAACACTCTGTTACATGAAATAACCAAAATTGATATGAATTATATGTGTCTTCGGGGCGCTTTAACACCTTTATAGCTATTAAAGCTAAGATAAATAGTAAAAACAAACATCATTCATATAACCGTTGAGATGGGACGAAATAAGGTCGTTATATCCGACATACACTACAAGCAATTTACGAACAAATACGTAAATGCCCATTTAATTAGTAAAGTGTGCATTTTTATTTTAATACATTATTTAAACGATAAAAATCAGAGCATAAAACTAAATCGTATCTTAACTTCTCCGGCTGTAGTGTTTTGTGAGAATAATCGTTATTGATTGTGATAATCTTTGATTAACATGTATGTGTACGTATTGCTGTCAACTTCCTATAGGACCAGATTTTACTACCCCGCTGTTGTTATATCCAAAGTAAAAGATTAGAACGCGTGAAATGTATGTTATGTATGTATATTAGGGAGGCGTTATATAAGAAGATTTTTACCTACATTGTCACATACAAAACCAATGAAAAGTACAACAGCTTCCTATCTTAGTACTGTTTATGCCGGTGTATAATTAGCCCGTAATTGATAAAATTATTTTCGCAATAACGCAACTAACAATTTCGTTAACAATTTTCTCACGGCTTACATAACGTTTTAATTAATTTGCACTTAAACATTGCGTTGCTCACATATTTATGCTATTATAACTGCGCAAAACAGTAACGTAACAATGTAGCACTATACATTGTAGCAAATACCCTGGTTTATGAAAATTTTACGAAAACAGAGGCAGAATAATAATGTGGACGAAACGTCAGGATAACAACAAGTACCAAAACTTTTTAATCTGAAAAATAATTCATTTCTTTGTAATTTTGTTTTTCGTTTCCGTTTTTATATGCATTATAAGCGACGCGGTAACAGTGCTTTCTATGATTACTTTTTTTACGTCTTGTTTATTCATTGCGTGCTGTTTTTCGTATCATGATGTCATCATTTTCTGTTCTTGATTAGTAGTTATTTAAATTTGTAAACAACATCCTGTCGTAGTTATCTATTTGAAGATATCTTGCCCAGTGATAGTATAATTGCATTTTATAATATATCTGCTAATAATATATTAATTAAATAAAATGCAATGTTTAAATACATGTTTATGTACATCGTTGTTGATTTGAATACTTGATGATTGATACGTATAACAGTAAGGAAGAATATTATTGTTTAATATCTGAAGAAAGTTTCTTTCAACAGCAGTTACTATTTACATGCAACAATTTCTATTACAAGATTCTATTATTTATCGATCCATCGTTAATAATAGTTTTCTGTTTGCTGAATGATTTCTTTCAATGTTTAACATGGATACGGTAATTACTGTACTTAATCGAAGCATGTTAGCTTTTAATTAATTTATAAACACATCTGAAATATTTCGGTTGATTGAAACATTCTAGGACAATTCAATTGTTTCGACCTTTACATTATGAAAATCCATGATTAAATACCAATAAACACTTACAGATACCCCAAGTAAATTATTTCTTGTCATACCCCAATGTGGGACCGAATACTTAAATATATATTGCAATAATAATAGTCGTTAATTGACATCAAAAGACTGTCGTAGTTTTTCTGAATCAAAGTTAATGATCGAATGATTCCAACTTTCTAACGCATTCAGAGTTTGGTGTTTTTTATCCTTTATTGATCAATCGTGAATGTATCAATAATGGTTTTATACTTATTTTGAAACACGTTGTGACGTGTGTGTAAAATGTAGGTGCATTATACAGAGTGTCTAGTTAAGTCAGCATTATTATCATATTGATGTTACGAAGAAAAGTTACACTTTATAAAAACCTCTACATGGTCTCAAACACATAATGACATCATCAGTCTTAATAATTTGTCAGCCGTATACAAGTTTTGATACAAAATATGAAATTTCTGTAACAGTAAAGTACCTTTATTTTTGAAGATAGCAGAAATATTTATAAAGAAAAGTTGTTGAGAATTAAAGAGTAGTTACTGTTCAAATTTCATATTTTGTGCCAAAACTTGTATATGATTGAAAAATTATTAAGTCTGATGATGTCATTATGTGTTTCAGATCATGCAGGACTTTCTACAAAAAGTAACTTTTTTTTGTAAGATTAATAGAAAAAAGTTTTCCATATGCTGAAAAAATAGACGCACTGTATTTAACGTTCCAACGTCAAGGATAAGCGATTCCATCTGGAGCATGAGTACAGTGCGTGCTTCAAATTTACAGCCTTTTTTTATTACAAAAAGTACGGAATTAACACTGCTAGTTTACCTATTGACTACGTAACAAAAATAAATATTTGCATATGTATTACATATTATTGATATACTATTCGTGTAACTGTTTATCTTTAGGTCGTTTTATTACCTATTTCATTTTAATTCAAGGAATATAATGTGAATATCTACTAACTGAGAATACCAAGATGTCTCATTTTTACAATATTTTCTATATACTGAATAATTATTTATTGATAATGTTGGTTTTAAATTTGTATAAGGTCCGTATTTAGGCCAACGATCAAAATTTTATTATTTAAGTAGTATGAAGTCAATAAAAACTGTGTGGAAAGGGTGCTGCTGCTTCATGAAAGCAAATAATAGCTTAAAGTCCTAAGTACGTCCCTGATAAAGCCATCATGTGCGAACGTCTTCAATAAAGAAAATAAATATGACATTATTTTGAGGAAAATGAAAGATTATTAAACAATAACGTATACGTAATATTTTCAATGGATTTTTTTCTAAAAATTGCGGATAATAGCGAAATCTGAAACCTACCGATTATTTATTTCATTCGATTACTAAAGGCATTGTTTAGGAGTTTATTGTTATTAATTTTGACTTGAACGTTGCAAAAACAGTTTTATCGCAACTTTCAACCGATTTGTTAGTCGTTCTTTCATGTTAGAATCGAAGTACATAATCCAACATATTTCCTAATGAAGTTGTTACAAAGAAATTGTTTAAGTATGTTTATTAAAACGGTACGGTAATTGTAGCAAAGAAATTTTCTAGTTTTTGTAATTTTTCGATCGATTGCGTATTTAAAATGTTTTTTTTCTTTGTTGCAGTGGACTATGCCTAACACGACCCTGGAATTTTCGCCCAATGCGGCGTTAAACAAGGTGGTGGCTAACAAATTTATGAATTTACCCATTCCCGATGGAAAAATTCAGGCAATGTATGTCTGGATCGATGGATCCGGAGAAAATTTGAGGGCTAAAACCCGAACTGTAGATTTCATCCCGACAACCGCTCAAGGTAACTAAAGTAAAAATTCTTTTCCTACATTTTAATACAAGTATAATCGCCACATATTGATACAAAAGTAGTTATCGAAAAATTCCTGATATTTTCGGAAATTTTCTCCTAAGATTCATTTATTACACGAATCTATGCGTATGATTTATGACCTTGAATTACCGCCGCGCCGTATCGATTGTGGCTTGCGGCACTCTTTCTCGCTACGGTATCCGAAATTAAATACATTCATGTATGAGAATAAATCTAATAAAATGCCAGTACATTTGACCGAATGAAGTGCAATGTAATTCAAAATAGTTGACAGAGAACGAAATCTTACAACAGACGTTTCGGTTGATTCATTACTTTATTTACAATTAGAAAAACTGTGGGTTACAACAAATGACAACAATAGATTTGATGATTATTAGAATTTATTTTAGATTTGTATATTATAATGGTTAGTGTTCATTATAAACAATAATATGGCATTGCTATTTTTATTACCTACTTCAGAAACAATAGCTTTCGAGTTGGATAAAAAACCAATACGTGTGTATTATTTTTATTCTAGAATTACCCATTTGGAATTTCGATGGTAGCTCAACAGGACAAGCGGAAGGACAAAATTCCGATACTTTCCTCTACCCTGTAGCGTTATTTAATGATCCTTTTAGACAAGGAAACAACAAATTAGTATTATGTGAAACATACAGATATAATCACAAGCCGGCAGGTATAAAAATGATTATCACATATTCAAGGCAACGAAAGTTCTTTAAACGATTATTTTTCCTTTAGCTACAAATCACAGGCATTCCTGTTTACAAGCCATGGAAGCAGCTAAAGATAGTCACCCATGGTTTGGCATCGAACAAGAGTACACTCTTATGGATATGGATTTGAGACCTTTGGGTTGGCCGAAGGGTGGTTTTCCAGGTCCCCAAGGACCGTATTACTGCGGGGTTGGGGCAAATAAAGTGTATGGTAGGGATATTGTAGAAGCCCATTACAGAGCATGATCTATTTGAAGATATCTTGCCCAGTGATAGTATAATTGCATTTTATAATATATCTGCTAATAATATATTAATTAAATAAAATGCAATGTTTAAATACATGTTTATGTACATCGTTGTTGATTTGAATACTTGATGATTGATACGTATAACAGTAAGGAAGAATATTATTGTTTAATATCTGAAGAAAGTTTCTTTCAACAGCAGTTACTATTTACATGCAACAATTTCTATTACAAGATTCTATTTATTTATCGATCCATCGTTAATAATAGTTTTCTGTTTGCTGAATGATTTCTTTCAATGTTTAACATGGATACGGTAATTACTGTACTTAATCGAAGCATGTTAGCTTTTAATTAATTTATAAACACATCTGAAATATTTCGGTTGATTGAAACATTCTAGGACAATTCAATTGTTTCGACCTTTACATTATGAAAATCCATGATTAAATACCAATAAAAACTTACAGATACCNATTTTACAATTCTATATTTTATTTCTTGATTTCGGGAAAGCTATGAAATTCTGGTAATAATTTCCCTCATTATCAAAACAAAGTTAGATACATAACTTCATTTTTACATACGCTGAGTCAATCTTCGTATTTCCTGAAAACTACAACATCCCCCATCCAGTTCCAGGTCTTTCTATGGCCCCCTTTAGTATTGTTTCTGCTTCTAATGTGTTTCTAGGCAGTCCTTTATGTCTTAGAAGGTGTTGCATCATTCTACCTCTTCTTTTGACTTCTACAGCGTCTTCTGTTCTAATTTTTTTCCATTCTAACTTTTTTTATCCAATATTTTTACATTTCAAACGCTGTTAGCATTTTCTTCCCTCTGTATTTTCATCAATAAAGTTTTCACAACAATTTACGAAACACCTCCATATTTATCCCCTTTATAATCACCAGATAGAGCACAGAGAACAATTGGGTTTCCATTCTTATCGTGTTGTATTTTTAGTGGGAATTCCAAGTAGGTCCATGCGAGGGCATTGCGATTGGCGACCAGTTGTGGATGGCCAGATTTCTTTTGCATCGCATTGCTGAAGAGTTTGGTGTAGTTGCCACGTTAGATCCTAAGCCCATGGAAGGCAATTGGAACGGAGCTGGTGCCCACACCAATTTCTCAACTAAAGCAATGCGAGAAGATAACGGTATAATGTAAGTTACTCGTTATTTAATTTTATTTTTCATTTGACTCTGTTTTGTACTTGTCTTAATGACATGAATATGATGTGTCTGTTTTCCTTTTTAATACAGAGAGATTGAAAAAGCGATTGATAGACTGAGTCGCAATCACATTAGGCATATACAAGCCTACGATCCGAAGGGCGGGAAGGATAATGAACGTAGATTGACCGGTCACCATGAGACTTCTTCAATTCACGATTTTAGTGCTGGTAAGAAAGCTTTTTAATACTTTTTTGGTAGACATTATTGGTGTTATTGTTATTCAGAAATGTGCTCAAAGAAATTTAGGAAATAACTAGTTTTGGATGATTTCTCGTAAAATATTTCAACGTTAACAATCTTCATTTCAAAATTTAAAATGGAAGACAACGGGAAATAGAAACAAATGTACAATTTTAAAAAGTTTAAATGTAGCATCTCATACAATTTTTGATCATTTTCCTGAACTTTTTAATCTTTTCGAAAGATTTCTCGTAAACTACTTTAACTTTAATAAGATTCGATTTAAACTAGATGTTAAATCAGAGCGATGGTAAGGGATAAATAATTTATTTATTTTGAAACCAGGTCCGACGTTTCTCCTATTGTTTTTATGACTTTTCAAGGATAGGAAAAAGCCTAAACACAACAGGCGAAACGTCGGACATGATTTCAAAATAAATAGATTATTTATCCCTTGTCGTGGCTCTGATTTAACATCTGGAATAAATTAAAGGAAGAAATTGTTATCTTTTTCGGTTTAAAACTTAAAATAGAAAAAAAATTCGAAAAATTTCTTACTTTCAGTTCCAACAATTTCTTATCGTTGTTTTACAATGACAAAAACTTGAAATGCACTATTTGTATTAATCCCTTTTTAAATTTTGCGAACATTTTCGATTTTGTTAATAAAAACCGAACAGCTGTTTGGTTGGACATAGTTTTTATAAATTAACATTAAAATTTCTGTAATTCTATAAGAAAAGTCGAATTGAAAAATCTTTAATTAGGTGTCGCTAATCGTGGAGCAAGTGTACGAATACCTAGGGGATGTGCCGAGGACAAGAAAGGCTATTTAGAAGACCGTCGACCTGCGTCGAACTGTGATCCCTACTCAGTAACAGAAGCATTAGTACGGACCTGCATTTTAGGAGAATAATTTGCCAAAATATTTACGCGTTTTTATTAACATTTACCTAATCACTTTATTTGTTATTACTTTTTAGTTTGTTCATCCAAAACGGTAATAGTTGCAATTAACAACGATTGGTGGTTTTTGTCAACGAATAATATTCATATCGTATTTATTAAACGTACAATTAATTTTTATTCCAGTTCTTTATCTCGTAAGAATAATAACTGAAAGAAACTAGCCAAAAGATTGTTAAATATTTTTTGAGGTAATTTACCAATTTTAACTTTTTATTTAGATTTACGCACATTCTAGATACTGTCATACAGTAGTATGTATATGTAGTAAACAATGTACATGTATGTATATTTTTGTAATCACACCCCTACGACAGGTTCATTTGACGAACATACCAAACAATAAAAATGGATACGAGTCGTATGAATTGAACGAATTTATTATTAGATTGAACGAATGAACAAAAAAATACAACCGTTTAAGTGGCACAAATAACAATATTAATGTAAACAATATTATTTTCATTTAAGTGATCATGTAACATTGATAAGTTGTTATAAATAATAATATATATTGATGTTACGAGACGCTTTTTATTTCATAATTTTTCCTCTTTATCTATTAATGCTTTGATTCCGTCATGCATTTCCTTGATGGCTTCGAATTCTGTAAGTCCCAGGCGTCGTTTGTTCGAAATATCATAAAGACCTTCTTCAGCTTCTGTATGTTCTCCACGAGTGCCTCTCACCTGCAGGCTGTACTGAGCCGCCACCTTTTCCAGTTCGTCCTTGTTCGACGCCAATTTGGGGAGTTGTATGTGGACTGAAGCTCTTATGGCTGTTCCCAAATTCGTTGGGCAAAAAGTCAAGTAACCGAACTTCTCGCTTCTGGCGAATGTTATTTTCCTTCCGATTTCACAAACGCCGTTCACAAATCGTGTATAGACTTCTCCTAAATTGCCTCCTGGTTGCATCGAAATTATTCTCAAATGGTCTTCCTCGTTTACCCACACAAGGAACGTTTTGTCAGCATTGTGGAATATTCCCCTTCCTTTAGGCCAAAATCTGCACGCGTTAGCGCTTTGGAGAAACCGATCGCCTTCCTTGAAAAGGAAGTGGTCATCAATTAACTGCTGTTGGATATCCTTGGTCATCCCGTCTAAAGGGTAGTACTCTCCTTGGAATTCTCCCGGTAAAGATTTGAGAACTGTGGAACATTTTTTCTCCATTTCTAAGTATTGCTGTTCAGTTAGGAGTGGATTGAAAGGGTACCCGGCTAAAGATCTTCCACATCTTACACGTGTTGAAGCCACGTACTTCATTTCAGGATCAAGGTCACCTATACATCCAATATTTCCCCAGTCTTGGTTCGGGTGACGTTGGGTCCTATCAAAGCCGTGATAGTGGCAAATAATTTTATCAAAAAGATCACCGAAAACTGTGTATGCTTCGGCATCTGGTGCATACACACCCACCCCAGAATCGTGGTTCTCCAGACCTGGATAACAATAAAATTGTTTTATTAAAACAACTCCCGATTAAAACTTATTTAGTTAAAAAGTTCAACTGCCTTAAAAACCAAAAGTAAATCCAATAATTCATTTAAATCTGGGAAAAAGAGTTCATACTTTATAAAATAATGTCCTCCAAGTTGTTTTTTGTAAAGATTTTGATTAAAGTTTAATAATTGTTTGAAAAAATTAACAATAATCTCTATTGGAAGATTAAGATTAAGAGATATCGTCGAAAATATCGACAAAATACCTAAATTCTTCATAAAATTTGGTTTAAAAATGTAGCATATGGAGAAAAACAAAGCGAAAATGTAGAACTTTTCTGTTATGAAAAATATAAATATTCTTTGGCAAAAATTGGAAATTTAGATCTGACCTGATTTTATGCAGTCGAGTAAAGTTGATCCCGACCCAGTTTTCTTTGTTTTGAGCTTGTCAAAAGTCCTTCGTGTTAAATATTTCCTGAGAAGTGACTTAGAGTTCGACTTCATCAAAGCGTCATACTGCGCTTCTAGAGTTTTCAAAGTTTCACCGTCAACTTCGTCATCTTTTGATTTGCATTGTGTCCCACAGGCGCAACCTTTTGACGAAGCCATGCTCATGGGAAGTAGTAGACGAATTTGTCGAAAACTAAAATTTAGACTCATATCCGGTTCAATTGTTCATTCCTTTTTGACAGCAATTAACGTTTCCATGGAAATTTAGTAACAACAAGGAATTTCGGTGACATTGTTTAGATGGTTTATTTTCAAAAAATTCTTACATTTTCATACTTGTGTAATTATTCAGAATATATAATCAAAATATTTAACATTTGTTTAGAACTTTTTCACGAAAATAAATGAGTTCTGATGGCGCTCGTTTTAGTCACACGCTTGAACCGTGCCACCGATCGTCACGCAGTCTTTTTCTTCTTCTAATCGTTAAATACTTAAATACAAAACTAATTTGTTGTTTGGTGTACTTGTTATTACTTGTGGATATTAAAATTCACTCAACAATAATGTTTGATACACTTCTATTTGCAATCGTTTGTTATATTTATAACATAACCTAATTCTCTGTGATATTTTGTTAAACATTTTTCTTTTTGGTTAATCGTTCTACATATATTATATCGTAACATTTATAAATCAAAATTACAACAACTTTTCTTTCATCAGAGTTATTAATTCCATATTAATCTGAAAATTCATTCGTAATTTTTTCCGTTATCAATTACCTACAATTTATAAGGAAAAATTGCTCGTGCTGTCAAACCCTCGCCGGGAATCGAACCCGGGACCTTTGGCTTTACGAACAAAACTTACTAGGTCTCAGGTCCGTCGAAGTAATGTAGATTAATACAATACTGGGTTCGATTCCCGACGAGGGTGTGACGGCACCAACAACTTTTTCTCATTAATTTGAGGTAATTTATAGTGGATAAAAATTAATAAATAATTTTCACATTAATATTTAATATTGATCACTAGGAAATTTAAAGTCCTGCAAGATGTATACATACAATTCAAATTTAAATTTTAATTCATAGGTATTACATGGGATTTTAGCACAGATAAACAAATATAACAAGGTTTAGACTTTAGAGTGAAACCTGCAAGAGAATTGCGCTATTTTAGGTTCCCACTGTACATACGATTGGAGGAGGAACACATATGAATTATATTTTTAGGCAACGAAGCCGCGAATCTCAGTGAGTACGTTAGCACGTTCGTATAAATAAATTCTTATTGTTGTTAGAGGAACCGGAGCAGTTGTTAGTGATAATTGCTTTACATATTCGGATAACAGGGAATTATTTCTTCGATAATAGGCTTTTGTAAATGGGATAGATAATGTGTGCAAGTTATTGGTGAACAAGTTTTTTTAGTGTGCCAACTGCTCTCTTTTCGTGCAGTGTTTAGTGGACACAATAGATTATTCGTAGTCGATTTTTGTAGTTTTTATAAATATTATTTATCGTATTTTAAACAAAATGAGTACGACTCTTCAATTTTCACCAAATGCTGCTCTCAATAAGCTTGTTTATAACAAGTACATGGAACTTTCCATCGACAAAGTCCAGGCCATGTATATTTGGATAGACGGAAGTGGAGAAAATTTGAGAGCAAAAACAAAAACTCTGGATTTTATTCCTACAAAAATTGAAGGTAAATCGTCTTATACAGAATAATAAGCAGATAACATTGAGAAACGTGATTATTTCTGGCTTTATAAGATGACCTACATAAGTGTATTCTTAATATTGTTAGAAGAACTATAAATGTTAAAATCATTTATAAAAAAGTATTTTTTTTACTTTATTTCTTAAAATATTCCTTAAAAATTCATGGAAAGAATCAATTAATATCATCAAAAATTTACATATATAGCTTTCAAACAATTTGGAATAATATCGATATTTGATACGAAACATGCCTAACGATTGTTTAATTAAAAAATTGTTTAAATAAATAATATAATTAATAAATTACATTTCGTAGATACTTAGATTAATAATAAACATCAACATGTTTGTTTGGCATTTCTGAAACCTTAACATTGTTTTCCTTTGTTTTTTAAATTAGCATAATTTATTCGTTTTTAATAAATTCCAAGCTTTCTAGAAATGTTACGTGTAGATATTTTTTGTTTTCCTTGACTTTAAAACAACAGTATATTGTGGATTTAGCTCGATTATTTTAATTTCTTACATTCGTATGTTTACTGTTTAATGAATTGAGGCAAAAGAAACAAATTATCATAAAAATTACGTTTAATCCAAGAATTATAAATTCAAAATTTTGATTTCCATACTGATTCTATAAATAAATATTAATTCATGTTTCACTATGGTGCAGTTCGAAATTCTAATTTTAAAACGAAAATTTTCCAAAAGAATAATTACTTTTGGCACAATTGAGTCATTTTGGCATCAGAGAGTGACCACATGGTACCTTATTACATTTTTTTTTCATGATAAATGGGATTCGCCTTCTGGTTTTAGCATTGTTAATGAGAGAGTCAGAAATTGATTGACAAAGTAAAAGACAAACGTTTTTGCAAGGTATTTTCTCAACTTGTGAAAATTGGTCAATTAGAAAAATTAAATAAAAATTGCAATAATTATGTTTATTGTTAGTAGAATAAAAATAAAAACTTTTTTGTTGTTTGAGTAAGGAGTCTAAAAAAAGATTTCTGTTTTCTATGTGGAATCATTTGTAGTGTCTTGTCTAGCTTAAATTTCATTTAAGTTGAATAGATATTGAAGATGGTAAATGCCAAATGAATTTGTGATTAAAGCGAGTTTACCGTATGCGTATATAGTCCTTTTCTTTTTTTCTCTAGCTTGAACGTCATTAAAGTTGAATAGTCGTTGAAGATGGCAAATTCCAGTTGAACTTGCCATTAAAGTGGGTTGATTGTATATAGGATACTTTTCTTTTTTCTGTACCTTGAATGTCATTTAAGTTGAATAGTTGTTGAAGATGGCAAATGCCAACTGAACTTGCAATAAAAGTGGGCTGACTGTATAGTATATATGGTTCTTTTCTTTTTTTTTCTAGCTTGAACTTCATTTAAGTTGAACAGTTTTTAGAGAAGTGAGTTGACTGTACATACGGTCTTTTTTTTTTTTCATTACCTTGAACGTCATTTAAGCCGAATAGTTTTTGAAGATGGTAAATGCCAAATGAGTTTGTGATTAAAGTGAATTGACTGCATGCATATATGGTCCTTTTTTTCCTCTACTTGAACGTCACTTAAGTTGAATAGATGTTGAACATGGCAAATGCCAATTGAACTTGCAATTAAAGTGGGTTAACTGTATGTGTGGTTCTTTTTTCTCTATCTTGAAAGTCATTTAAGTTGAATAGTTGTTGAAGATGGCAAATGCCGATGAACCTACAGTAGCTGGTAGAAATCAAACACGTAAAAGCTTTTTTATCATACCCCTACCGAATGCACGATGTTTTTCCTTTCGACTTTGGTGGCAATTCACATCCGGGAAGGAATTTCTTTGCTTGGCACGTTTTAGGGGTATCAAGTTGGTTTCGGAATCTTAAAGGATCATATTTGGCATTATTACCTCTCTCCTCTTCATTTTTTTTTTTTTTTGAAATACAGAATCCTGAAATTCCTAAACTGTAGAGGCTACACTTAATATTAATAAACTAATGGAAATAATTAGAATTTCAATTCCAATAACAACAAATATGAAACATTTCTCTATTTGGATTAATGGAGTAAGTGGCTAGTGTTTTCTGACTATCTTTAATTACTTATACAGAACTTCCGATTTGGAACTTCGACGGAAGCTCGGCAGGATTAGCCGAGGGTAGAAATTCTGACACATATCTTTACCCAGTGGCTATGTATAAGGATCCATTTAGAAGAGGAAACCATAAACTAGTACTTTGCGACACTTACACATACGATCTTAAACCGACAGGTATCTATCTACCTATTTATGTACATTTGATAAAAAAAATTTGAAAGATCGTATTGCTATCTAAATGAATATTCGTTTTATTCACTTAGTTACAAATAAGAGAGCATCATGTCTTAGTGTGATGCAAAAAGCGAACGACCATGAGCCATGGTTCGGTATCGAACAGGAGTATACCCTATTAGACATGGATCGGCGACCTCTGGGTTGGCCCAAGGGTGGATTTCCGGGGCCACAAGGCCCTTATTATTGCGGAGTAGGAGCTGATAAGGTTTATGGTCGAGATATCGTTGAATCCCATTACAGAGCTTGTCTGTATGCTGGAATTAATATTTCCGGTACTAATGCGGAAGTTATGCCGTCACAAGTATGTAATAAAACCACAATTGCTATTTTGAATAAAAAAATATGTTTATATGATGTATCAGTGGGAGTTCCAAGTAGGTCCTTGTGCAGGAATTGACGTGGCTGATCAGCTTTGGGTGGCTAGGTTTATTCTGCACAGGATTGCAGAGGAGTTTGGGGTTGTTACCTCCCTAGACCCAAAACCAGTTGAAGGAAATTGGAACGGAGCCGGGGCCCATACTAACTTTTCTACGAAAGCAATGAGACTTGATGGGGGTATTGTGTAAGTATTTGAAAAGTTTGTTTACAATTTGTAACTCTTTCGCTATTCTGTGACTTTCAATTAGTTATAGTGAAATTATTTTTTATAATTTATCTTAAATTAATTTTAGAGAAATCGAAAAAGCTATCGAAAAATTAAGTAAAAACCACCTTGCACATATTAAAGAGTATGATCCAAAGGGTGGGAAAGATAACGAAAGAAGGCTGACTGGTCGGCATGAAACTTCAAGTATAACAGACTTTAGTGCAGGTGAGTATTGTAAGCCCAAAGTTAAATACATTAAAGTTAGTCTAAAAACTCATTAATGGTTTGGTATCTAAATCTATTATTTCATGATAATATTGTATTAACTATTATTTAAACCTTAATAAAAATTTCACAACGAATTTTATTGGTATAAACAAGTACGAAATAAAAAATGGTTTTTAGGTGTAGCCAACAGAGGTGCTAGTATTCGTATTCCTAGAGATTGTGCAAAACATGGAAAAGGATATTTGGAAGACAGGAGACCAGCATCCAATTGTGATCCCTATTCTGTTTGTGAAGCCTTAGTAAGGACCTGTCTGCTTGATTAGTTTCTAATAATTAGACATTTTTATTAGTCTCGCTTTATTTTAATTAATCGTAACTTAAGATCATCATTTTATGTATGATATAGTAATAAACTTAAGGATGAAAGAAAATTTTTATTTATTTTAGTTACAATGTTCCTGTATGGACATTTTTAAAGCAACAAGCACTAAGTATTTACATTTTCTTTTTTCTTTTTAAGTTCCAAGATTATTTTGTTTATTGACGCGGATCTCTCATGCATAAAAACGCAATCTCATTCGCATAACAGGAAAAATAACAGAATGTTAAATATTAAACTGCTGCAGGGGATGTAAATGTTGTTTTTATTTACATTCTTGAAGTAATATATTGACGCACAAGAAACTGTTTTTGCCATTAAATCTCCGATTAATATTTGAATTTAAATCATGGATGGATCTTTATTGAAGTCGAATAATAAAGAATACGTATTTACTGTTTATAAAACACTGAAAAAGTTTTGTTCAACTTAACATAAGCACAACTTTTCCATTCATATTATTGTCTTATTAATTAAAAAGTTTTAAAATTTTGAATGGGTTGTTTGGACGAAACTTTAGATAACTTTATGCAAAAATTTATTGAATACTGTTCTTACAAATTTGCTAAGTGTATACCATTAACGATAAGCGATTAATACAAGATCTGGAATGTTAGTTTATTAATTTAATAGAAGATGCGCCTTATTAATAATTCTTTGGAAATAGTAAGGGAGACAAAAAAGGAATTTTCAATTTTTTCATAAACCGTTTTTCATACGACGTTGGCCCATAATCTTTTTTGAGGGGAGGGAAATATTTAACGATTTCAAGAACAAATATTTTGTAAAATTGATAGATTCCAAAACATCCCTTTTGGAATTTTATAAAACCTGATGCTCCACTTAATGGGCTAAGTGAAAAATCATTTTCTTGAGTACTTTTCGCTCTGTGGGAATGCGGTCCAAAAAATAATTTTTCCAAAAACTTACGCTCGAAATTTTAAGTTCTTACAAATGATTATTTGGATAAAAGTATAGGGATGTTGTAAGTTCCTTTTTTAACTGCGATTAGGTAATATTAAGTGTTACAAATAGTTAAATATTATATAAATTGAACTAACAAATGAACGAATAAATTTACAGGGGTTCCATTTTTACTTTTAGGGATGTTGGACCCCCAAAAATTTAATTGTTTTTTAATTTAACGATAGAAACGATTCATAGTCGTATAAATAATAAAATGAATGAAACAATAAAATAGTTTTTATTAATTTATTATTGGAAAACACCGACAATTATTATTCAAGTAACAATCTACTTTTGCTTTTCAATTTTTATTTACGGCTTAAACAATTAATAAACAATCTGTAAATGCAAAACTACACGCTTTATTTCAATTCGCTCATTATTCTGTAACACTTGCGCTTTTTTCTTAAATTGAAATAAGTATACAAAGCCACAAAAGCAGCGAATTATTCCATAAGATCGCCGTATTTGTTTCTTCTCGATATTCCTGGAGATGAAGGTACATCAGGAAATTCAGTCTCAGCAGGGACAGGCTGCCCTTGAGGTAGATCTGTTGGAGCAGGTGGAGACCTTATGAATAGAATGAACAATTACAAAATGTAATGGTAATACTTCAATTAATGATTAATTGACTACCTATATAAAGATGATCTTTTGGATTGATATTCTTCTCTGTTCTTCTTCCTAAGTTCATCATAGGTTGTTGTTTTCCTCTGAACAGGTGGCATTTCCTCCTCATAAATGGATGCTAAAACAATATGTAATTTTAAATTATTTACAATGTTTAAAATAATTACAATCAATGGTAGGCCTATGAGAATCGTTGAGACCTTCAAGCTCTGGTCGGGGTGTGTCTATGTCAGTGCTCAATTTTGTGTCCACATCACTGTACACCTCTGTTGAATTCATGCCACCAAAGGGTGTTAAAGATAAACCTGGGTTAAATCCAGGGTCTAAACTGAAAACAAGCAGTGCGTACTTTGGAAAAAGCAGCAATGTAATTGTAGAAACAAAAATAAAATACCTTTCATGGGGCAGTCCTTGTCTCTTTCGTCTTAATAATTCTCCTATTGGACTGTTTGGGAGTTGCATTAATTTTTCTGCGCATTTGGTTTGATAAGAAATTTTACCAACAAAATAGCCAATAATAACAGCCACTACAACCTTTGGTGTTGCTCCATACCTTACATTAGGTTTCAAAAACCCTGTAAAGTAATAAAATCCTATAACTATCTAATTTTTCAAAATCTCTCTCCTGAACAAAAAACTATTGGTTATCTAATATTTCATAATGTAATGTTTTGGAGAAAAACTAAATTTTTATTGTAATACCTGTCTGTACTCCATAATATGTTCCTAGACCTAAGAATGTACTTAGGGGTATGCATCTTTGAAAGAAACTTTCACGGTTACAATCCCTTAGAACCTTAAGTTCCTCTGCATTAAAGTGATACTGAAAATTCCATTACACTATAAGTATAACATATCGACACAAACTTTACAATATAAAGGTTCTTTGGTAACTAAATGGCTAATAATTAAAAAGTTACATAAGTTTGTTTTCCTGAGAGCTTACAGGGGTTGGTCTACGTTGATCAGGTGATGGAAAAGGCTTGAGGTTTCTTTCATCTCCAGGATCAACACGATTCATTTTTAATCAGACACAAAACATACGATTAATTATAGCTTTCTAGGACATTATTTTAAAATTAACTATGTATTGAAAACTTTTTCCTACGTTTAAGTTTGGAGGTTACGTATAAAAATCAGCTGTCAAGGAAGTGTCTAAACTAACCTACGCTGTCAGTAAATTTTATTAGTTGAACAAATCTATTAAACTAATAAAATTTATTTAAAACTTTTTGTTTGAAACCAGAGTTGTTAGTTCATTTAAATTAAATAGGGAAATGGTAAGTTCAAATTGATATAAATTTGAATAGACAAACCAAAGACACAATAAAATGGTAAAAAAGGTACTTGGCCAAATTTTTGTTTTATGTACCAATGTTCCCTTTTTATTTCATGATGTACTTAATGTAGTTTATTTATTCAATTATCATATTTTTTTAAAACACGTTTGGTTCTTTTTATTTATTGAACACTTATTCAATTCGATTTTAAAAGCAAATTGTTTATGTTAAATTATGGCATAATTTCAATCTATTTTTAATTGCGGTTTTGAAATTCACCATTTATGCTATTTTTGTTCTTTAAATAGCGAACTATCGTTTTAATAAAATTTTTGAAAATAAAAGATTGAAATCTCCGTAATCTTTTTATTTAAAATGCTTTTACTTTAAAATTCTGCAAAAATATTCAAGAAAATTCAAGATACTTGGACATTTGTTTATCTTTTTCGTTATATTATACTTATTAATTCAAATTATCATAGGTAAATTTATTGAGTAGACTATAAATCATAAAATTGCTGTAATGTTATTAATGAACTGTATACATAATTACATTCCTAGAATAAAACTTCAGTACGTTGTATTGATGTACAACTATATAAAAGAGGAAATATTGTTGACTTAATTAAAGATTATTGTGGAAAACTGGCTGGAAATTATAAATTACGATTATTAATTGCAAGCTGCAATGAGTAGTATTTCTTCACGATTTTTACGTAATCTGATACACTAAACAAACAAACTAATAATATTATAAAAATCTCGTTTGTTCTGCTGACGCTAGTAGAAGTATGAGTATTAACTAATAGGAAACGTTTGCAGAAGAGATCGGCTTGTCATTTTCTCATAATTTTTAATTATTAGTTACTAATTGATGACTGCACTGGGCTTGAAATTGTGCTTCCAGGGCTCAGAAGCACTCCGTTTCATGAATAAGTATTCAGTTGAGACTTAGTTAGGGTTAGTACCTATATATTTTGTACTTTGAGTGATTGGGCCACTGGACTTTATTTAATTATTTTTGTTACCCTCAATTGTCTCTTGTTCATAAAATCTTACAGGAAAAATGCAAATATGAATAACTCAAGCAGGTTAATGCTTTCTATTCTTTATCGATAATTATTTACGATTGTGAATTTAGTAGACGCCTAAACATTTTAAAGGTCATAGACCGTAAGCCAAGGGTTAAAAACAAGTATAGAAAACTTCTTGATATCCGTAAAATAAGGTAGAAAGGGAATATTCCATATCTCGCAGCGTATAGTAAGTACATACATGCGGCGCTTATAATTAGATAAAATTGATGAAATTGCAAAAAATCGAGTGTGCACTTGTATGATAAGAATCCGGATAAAACCTGCTTGTTTCAATTGTTTATAACATCTAAGTTATCAAAAATTTTGTGCTAGACATATAAGATGCCGCTATCGTCCTACCAGATTTCTCGTGAAAGCGGAATTTTTGTGCACTGCTCTGAGTGATAAGAAGCAGACCAATTTTTTTTTAAACACGGTTTTTATGTTTTATATTACACCTACTCGTATACTACTGTAACCCTGCCAAACATTACATAGGGCGCGGACATCGTCCTGGTAAATTACCTCCAAGTGTTATAATATTAACATGATGGACTAAAATAATTCGAAGTGGTCTGTATTCTGTCGAAACTGCCAGACGCGGATCGCGATTTCGATCTTTTTGGATCTCATCAGCGCGTGGCAGACAGCTCCGACAGAACACAGACCAACTTTTACCTGCTGTCTTAACAGCGCGTTTTAGAAAATACCACAAATGGTGCGGTAAACGCCATCTGTAGTACGATGCTACGATTTAGGATTACGTATGCTCCAACAAGGTCCATTTAAATATACGGATATCTACTTGCTGAAACGAATCTCGGCGTATAGCTAGCCTCAACGTGATAGGCATGTTACCATATGTTGGAGCATATGTAATCTTTAAATGTAGCATCGTACTACAGATGACGTTTACCGCGCCATTTGTGGTATTTTGATTAACATGATGCTTTAGGCGATTTTTGTTGAGGATTTAGTAAGTTTTATACTCGATTATGCAAATGTGACACTGACTAAGTGCGACCGTTTTGCCATTTTTACCAAAATTTTCAATCGAATTGAGTGACTGGAAAATTGAAATCCGTTTAGCATACATTTTTTTTAATGCTTGGTGTTAAATATATGTATTATCATTATCATCGCAGGGTTGTCAATCCTAAGACTGGTTGGACACGTACCTCCACTTTTTCTGATCCTGAACTAATCTTCGCATTTCTTTACATCCTTTACTATCTGTGAGCAATAATCTGATGTAGGTCTACCTCTACTCATATTAACTTCTGTTTTTGCTTCTACTATCTCTCTATTTAGCCCTTCATGATTGAAAAGGTGTTCTACCAACCTACCTCAATTGAATTCCATACCGTCTTCGTTTTTAATCTTCTTTACCCCATTTCGAACGCCTTTGAACCTCTTCTTTTCCACCGCGTCCACAGTCCACGTTTCACATCCTTATTAGAAAGCCGTGTTTCAGAGATACCTACATCTTTAACAATCTTTTCTCTTGTGTTTTATATCTCTAATACTACTCGTTCCATCCTGGATTATCTGACTTCCTACATACCGAAAATCCACGCTCGTGAAATATTGCATTTCTTGATGACATCCCCCGAAAGTAGTCCCTGCCCGAATATCCGAATGGGAGCTGTATTACATCCTAAGTTCTTTACCTCAGCGGACGGCATCTTACAAATTTTGGTGAGTTGTACTCGAGATATCAGAATGGGGTAGTTTGCCGTTGCCTTGTACATCACCCTGAGTACTGGAAGAGTTACTGCTCTCTTTCAGAGATTTGTCTTAGTCTGGTTTCTCATTTAGAACCCCCCCCCGCCCTTATTGTCAAACCTATGGTCCGACTTCCCAAATCATAAGTTGTCCCCTACAGACGTCACTGAGTGTTTTGTCCTTTTTGTACTTATTTATTTAAGGCGCATTTAATGGATAATTAATTCGCCTGATGTCAATAAAGTGAATTATCTTTTAATTGAATTCCTTTCAGCACTTGTAGGCGAAGTACTAATTACTGATTTGGAATTCAATTATTTCGGTGTTTTGAGAATGTTTGTTTTGCAGATAAACTAGTAGTTGAATTGCCATTTTTTTTTAATAAACTGCTGTATACTTACAGTGAGAGATACTTATCTTCAAAATAAACATCAAGGTTCAAGACGAAGAATCTTCTAAGTAATATTAAAATGGTACAAACACACCGACACACTGACAGACAGAAAGACAGACAAAAGGAAACTTCAAAGTATTCTTCAGGGTAATATAAAAAGTTGGTACGTTATACATATGAAAAGTTCGTTATAAGAGAATTAGGCATATAAGCAAACAGTCCCTTTGTTTTTATTAATTATTTAGAAAATAAACGAAATAGCGGCAAAGGTCGTCCACTTTGATGGAAGATAAAAAGGGATTTATAAATAAAAAGTAAGTTATGATTGCTTTTTCTGACGTTCGGGTCTTTATATTAGAAGTACGTAATAACTGATAATTAAGTACGTATATTGTAAAGTAAAAATTAATTTATCATTGTGTACTTAATAATAATTACCGGGATTTTTGATATGGTACGCGACAAGCATAAGTTCGTAATAAGCGAGTACGTTATAAGTGAGTTTTACTGTATTTAATGTATATGCAGAAGACTTCGGATGGTACGTATGGGTGTCGGAAGGTTGATGTTATAGATGTGTGACCAAATCGTAATTCCTTCTACGTAACTAGAAAAATCCCTTTCTACCTATTATTTGTAAATGACAATCTTTCAAAATGTTACAGAATGGCGTGTGAATGGGTAGCAGTTGATAGTGATATTTAGTGACAACGCCTCAAGAACTCACTTCACAAATTTATAAAAATTATCATGAAGAAGTTGTACTCTACAACTGGTGATATTAAATATATGAAATCCTATGACATTAATAGGATTAATAGGATTAATATGCAATATTAATTTGAAATCATTTTTTCGATTTTTTATTTACCCACTACAAACTATCTCAAATTAATGAGAACATTGGTGCGTAAAGCCAAAAGTCCCGGGTTCGATTCCCGGCGAGGTTGTGACAACAGCAACAATTTTTCCCTCATTAATTTGAGATAGTTTGTAGCAGGTAAATAAAAAATCGAAAAAATGATTTCAAATTAATATTGCATATTAATCCACTATTAGGTAACTAACAATATCATAGGATTTCATATATTCCATCATCTTGTCAACTGCAACAGTAAAGGGACTTGCTGGTGTATTACCCCATGTACAATACGTAAAGGAAAAGGTCATCGGGCACTTCACTAAAACACTTTCGAAACATGAACGAAACTACTGTCATCCGTCTGATCAGTACTCCGGAAAAATTAAGGGAGATGAAGGTAAATAGAATGAGCCATCTCGCCCACCCACTGATATACATAAACATGAAGGTAATAATCTTGCCGAAAGCCACGACTGCTCCAACCATGATGACNTTTCATATATTTAATATATATAATTAAGTTAATAAAAATCGACGGATCGTTAACCTTGTAGGTCGGTTGGTCGTGGTTGCTGTTGTCACCTCTTGTAGTTTAATGGTAGAACATTGGTGTGTAAAGCCAAGGGCCCCGGGTTCGATTCCCGGCGAGGTTGTGACAACAGCAACAATTTTTCCCTCATTAATTTGAGATAGTTTGTGGTGGGTAAATAAAAAAATCGAAAAAATGATTTCAAATTAAAACTGCTGATATGTTTCACCTTCTGATTAAGGATTTTGATAATATTAGTTTATGTTAGGTTGAAAAATTAAAGAATGTCTTAGACTGCATGCTAATTTAGCTATCATGGTAATTGAGAGAAATATTGCAAAACTCCCAATTTGGACAAAGTACCTAACAGATATTTTTGCAAATAGCGTGGGACACCACATGGATCAGTACATTCAATTTTGGGTCTTCTCCCACTCAGGCCATCCGTAACTAAATGATTCAAGAGTAAAAGTGATAAACTAGGTATACATTAATCCAGAATTACTACACATATCTAGTCAAATTTTGTCTGTTAACTTCCAACTCCAAGCAATTGTGGATTAATTTTTTCCCACTATAGTCATCTTGAATCTTACGGTGCCGGACACCAGTGAGAACGTATTGTCCAATCAGGATTTTTGGCATCTATTTATAAGAACGTTGTGATGACTAGACTCCGATCCAGCGACATGGCCTGGATATTTGGACTATTCCTTATTATTTGGGAGGACTCCAATTCGATTCCGGATCCGCCTGCCCTGTTCTAAGTTTTTCTGTAGTTTCCTTGGATCACCTAGACAAACTATTTATATACAACACTAACTTGTACATTAATAACAAACAATGGAGCAAACAAATTTAATGGGAGCCATGGCTTTGCATGGTTATTCAAGTAGAAAATTTAAACTTTACTGAACAATGTAACTTGTAGTTAGAATAAAAAAAAGAATAATAACATACATTTGAGCAAACAAATTCAATGGGAGTGTTGGCTTTGCATGATTTTAGAAAGTTTGGATAAATTTGGCTCATAACTTGTTGTTTTAAGTTTCAAACACGACTCTAAATTTTCATTTGTTAGTTGGCTTCTTACTTTACTTTTAATTATATTCATGCAAGGGCTTGCTCGCACGAATATGTCGATCCGAAGATAGTCAGCACTCCACATGCCAACTTCTTCACCTCACTGTAACAATCTGGAAGACTATTGGGATGCGGTGAA